CCGACGCCAAATCCCATTTCGAGACTAATAGCTCCTTTTGAGCTAAAAAATTTCTAAGAATAAGAATAATATTTCTAAGAATAAACTTTTCTAAGAATTAGAACGCTGAAAATTTTTATCTGAAACTTAATCTGGCCTTAATTTTCTCCTCGTCGAATTCATTGTCTTGTAAGTCACTTGGTTCCAAGTTTTGTTAATGAGAGTTAAACAATGGAAAATTTTAAAGTGCTGTTTCAAGAAGTCCTTGAATGTTAATTACGGGGCATAGGTTACTTCGCCACTTCTTTGAAAAATCATTTCTTTTTTATTGAAGTGTTTATAAGAAATATCCGAGATGCTTTTGGTTCAGGTGATTTGTTTGAAAACCGATTTATTCGTGATCTAAGTTGTTGTAATCCGAGTTTTCATTGCATTTATCTATTGTCATTAATAACATGCTCATTCTTGGTACAGTAAACAAAGAGACGCTGAATTCTAATCAGAGTATTTCTAGCGTGCCTTATACTTGTAGGATCCAGTTGCTTATTTTCTGAGTGACAACTGTACGTGTAGTAAGTTCTTGTACGAACCACACAGAAGAAGGGTTAAAAGTGCACTTTATTAAACCCTTTAGAATTTACAATGCGTCAACTTGACGCTAACATACTACGCCTCACTCGGGCGTTAACTTAAATAACCAGAATCTAAACTAAAATTCGAAGATGTTTAACAAGTAATCACGTTACAGGACTCAGAAAACTCCTGTTACTTAAAACCGCGTCGAAACCAGTGGCAGCAAAGTAAATGCTATTATGCCAAGTAAACCAGCAAAAACTGCGAAGGTAAAAAGTCACGTTACAGAGGTAACGACAATAGTCTAACTCTCTCTAACATTTCTTCTGAAACTCGGCATTTAAACTCTTTCTCCACAAGGTAAAATTTGCATTCCTTCACGTGCATTATCAAATTTAATTATTCTGGCATTGACAATTAGGGGAATGAAGGCTTATAGGAAAGAATGTGAAATTAAATAAAATTGGTTATTATTTAAAATAAATATAAATTCCTGCATACTTATATTCTAAAATTCTGTAGAAACTTATCATATTCGAAATCAGATATTTCAACATTGTAATTCTGGAACACCATTTATGTGTACTCGAAACTCAATCAAAACTTGAAACCGGAAGTTAGACCCTTAGTCCCATAAATTTCCGACAAGGGAAGGGCACATTTAAAGAACATTGAAGTTTCCCCCTCATTTAGGTGTTCTTATTGGTAAATATGATCGGCCCAGGCAGTCAATGAACTGTCCCTGTTCTCCCCCATGCTATTAATTTGGCTGTTGATTAAGAGTCTCGATAGAACGCGAGCACCGCTCCTATGCTTTAAATCAGTCGGGGCCAAGGAAGCGGATGACATAAAAATCAAGATATTTAAGTGTTGGGAATTCTGTGGAAGTTGATGGCGATTGTGGAAATTCATGAGTGCATGGATCCTCCAATGAACGATGATTAAATTATGGTTGTTAGGGATATCGGATTGTGCATTTTCCTTGCCCGAAGTTGCCACAATTTATGATATCGGAACCCTGTTCGTTCAACCTAATTGGGGCTGACGCAGCCATTTTGGATTATTAACCATTTTCCTCAATTAACGTTAGAAATAAATATTGCCAGCAATGTTAGGTATATGTATGTATCATAATGCATTTATACACCGTACACAGAAATCCTTACTCGGGCTTTAGTTTCGCAACCACTGGTCGCAGATATACACTTCCGACCGCAAAAATGATTTAAATGATTTCAATTCTCATATTTTGGCATTTTTGAATTTAAAAAATAAATAAATTCTGTAGGGAACATGTATTAAGAAAATAAAACACAAGAAGTTAGGAATTTTCTCCCTCTTTTCCACATACCTTCGTGGTGTAACTAGAAACACGCTAGACTTGTATTCGAAAAGTACGAAGTTCGAATCCTGGCGAAGGCAACTTCGGATTTTTCAGTTTCCTTGCTTCGAAAAATTCTAAAAGACTCTACAAATGGCGCTCCAACTAAAAGGTGGTGGACGATAATACGTCATCATCGCGATCTAGTGACTGGGTCCCTTCATTTCCAGTTGCCATTTAAAAAGGGGAGTATATAAAGTATTTTCTCGCCTTCGTGGTGTAACTGGAAGCACGCTCGACACGTATTCTGGAAGTCCAGAGTTCGAATACTGGCGATCGCCCTGCAGTCATTTTCAGTTTCCTGACTTCGAGAACGGTACCTCTTTAAGAGTTTGTGCGCTAAGTACTTTTGCTGGAAGAGTACCGGAAAGTTCGATTCGCATTTTAGAGAAGAAAAGAAAATTTATTCTTCTATGTTAAAAGTGACATTCATTTTTATCATTTCCCAACTTTTACACACTATTTTTATTCTATAATTTCATTGTTAACTCTATGTAGGAAGGATATTTTAGCGAATCTCAAAACTACAGTTGAAATAAGTCATATCAGGAAGTTAGCGGTTTGATTTAATTGATTCATCCGATCCCACTCCTCGCTGTACCTCGCTCTTGATTCCCTCTCCATTCCTTATCTTTTTCATCAAGGCTATTGTTAGTTAGCGGTGAGTCAAAAGAGAACTGATTCAATTCAGTGACCCTTAAAACAGCGGTTTTGCCTGCTTCTAATCTTGTAGGTCAATGATCTCAAACTAACGGCCCCGAAGCAAATTCTATGCAGTCCGTGAAGACATTTCAACTATGCATTTGTTGAAAAGAAACTGTCTGTTCCAAATATTTAAAGATGTTAGTTATTTGAAATTCGAGAATAACATTTTCATTTCCATTGAAAACAATTTAGAATAACGTGTTACAAAATGCCCAGCCACGATAAGATAGCTTCACCGCAAAGCGAGTTTAGGATTGCTAGAAAATGGCAAGGGACGGCAGGGTTGCCAGATTTGGCGCGGAATTGCCCATTTGGCGATGTGCCATAGACGGCGATATGCCATATATATAATAAGAATCGGCGATATGCCATAGACGGATGGAGAACATTTTAGAACGAATTCCTACCGGTTTGGCCCAGAATGTTCTCGAAGGAGGGCCGAAAGCTATATAATCCCTGCCAGTACGCGAGAGTCTAGAGTCGAGTCGTATCACGAGAGTGTCTCGTAGTGCATCAATAGTGTGCGTCGTTGAAACTACCGAGTTTTATCTTGGATGTGTTAAGCTCCTAGAACGACAAAACTGAGTCGGGAGCTGTACTGTTGTGATTTTCCGTGAAGCTGTCTTCACCGTTATAGCTTGATAGCCTAAGGCTGTGTTGCTGATTATGTCAGCGTGTTTGTCGTAGTTTTTCAGCACCTGTAAACCTGCTTTTGGAACTGTAATACTGGATAAATAAATTGTGTTTTGATTCTTCATCAGATCTTGTCCTCAGTCACTCCAAATCCACGAACCCACAAGAACGCAACAAACGCATTAGAAAATTTATAAATGGAGCTAATTAATTTAGAAGGTGAACTAAATCTTATTCAAACATTTGAAGATATAGATTTCATTATCTTCTATTCGCACTTGTCATTTATATGTGAACGGAATTTTTTTCACAGTTGAAAATTTCTAAGAAAAAAGTGCGATTGAATTGAGTATCTGCAATCCGCGATGAAGATAATTTCTAGTAATTTCTGTCCAAGGATACAAATTTTATCACAACCGAAACGCCATCAAGTGTCAAGTCGTAGTAAGACTTTTATATTTATTTACATATAAACATATATAATTTTATTTGTTCGTCAAAGAAAAGTTTCATTAATAAGAGTAAGAGACTAAATTTTCATTATTCATTCTGAAGTTTTGCCTCATTTGGTAAATTTTCTCTGAAAACTGAGAAAGTTTTGTAATTTGTTTATTTTTACTTTAAATGAAAGTAAGTTATGTAATGGTTAATTAAACATGTAATAATTATTTCAAAGAAATGCCAATCTAAGTATTTAATGTTTAGTTGTCAATATACTTGAATTAAAAAGTGCAACCAACAAAAATGTCTTGCAGGTACCATACAAAAAAAAAAAAAAAAAAAAAAAAAAAAAAAAAAAAAAAAATAATAATAATAATAATAATAATAATTTGAATTTTTTTTACGGATTTAATGATAAATATTTAGCTTAATATACAGTTAAACTAATTTTTAAGCAAACCAGTAACAGTATTTTTTTTTTTTTTTTTTTTTTAAATTTTACGAAAAAATTGTTCATTTTGCTCATTTTGTCAGCTGTTTTTAGTCCTCAGGCGTCCTGCTTGCAATTTGAATTTAAGTGTGTGTGTGATTATGGCAAAGCCTCGAGGGCTATCTGCCTAAGGGGAGGGGATGCCTTCATGGAGGACTTTCTAAGGGAAACTGGCTCCTATACACGGTACACATGGGGAAAACCACGAAAACGCCCATGCAGCCAGCCCGTTTGCGGGATTCGAACCTCGAACCGAACTACCAGTGTTCAGCGACTTTACCGCTCGGCTGCTGGTGGGCCAAAATTTGAATGTAAGACCGCTATTATAGGTGGCATTATGACTAGTTCCATTTTCGAAGGAGAATCCGATGGGTGCAAAGTCTTCCCTAAGGCTGCTAACTTTATGCCAAGAGCCCTAAACCAGATTCTGTGACGTAGCACAGACTGGTTGCCTGGCAACGCAGCTCGGCTTAAACCACTTAATGCCCTTTATACCGTCGTCTGAACGCAGCTTAACGCCAAACCACTCAACAGAGCTTTCGGCTCGGCGTGTATTTTAAGTGCCTCCATGCTGTAAAGACGTTATACTCTTACAATCCAAGCTATAGCCTAGACATATCTAAGCCTTTTCCGATATTTTCAGTGTCCGGAGATATGGCAATCAATAATGCTAATCTCCATACCAATGAGTGAGGCAATTTGTAATATAAATGTGTGTGGATCATATTTTAAATAAAGCATCCTCACTACATAGTTCACTAATACTCAACTATCTTAAAGGATATTTTTTTTAAACAGGACAGGATCCATGCCTCGAGAATAATGGGGGATGCGATCATCATTGTAACAACGAAGATGAAACTATACGATGCAGTTGTTCTTCTGGATTTAAGCTTCAGTCTGACGGAAAATCATGTAGAGGTAAGTATACTTTTCTGAAGCTTAATTTATCTTTTGTGTTAATCTAAATCCTTCGTAAAAATTAAATGTATTATGTCTTCGAATACTAGACTTCGAAGATATCGAAGACTAAAATTAAATGTATTATGTCTTCGACACGTAAGCTAGTGGTCTCAAACTCGCGGCCCGCGGGCCTTATATTGCTGCTGAAGTAATTTTAACGCGAATACATTTTAATTTTGTATTTGTTGCAAATACGGTGCATGTAAGTTTAAGCAACGTAAAAACACTGCCTGTACTTATCTGCACGGCTATTACTGAAGGGGAAAAGGGAATGTGCAGATTGGGAGGCTTTGTCTCTATATGCTTGTACGTCACAACATGTTACAACGCGGGAGAATTTCTCACTTTGGTAAGTCGGTAAATTTAGTTTGCCAGCCGACGGCTGATGAGGCTTCATTAACCTGAAATTTTAAGTTTTCCGGTTCAGTTAGTTAATAATAAATAAGATTAAAAGTAATTAATTCAATATATTGGAATTGCCTGAAGTAAATGTCGATGTAAAATTTAATGTATGCTTTGATAAATATTCAGTTATTGATTGTTATGCCAAAGGGGCGTTAGATCCATAGAGCCTGCGTGTATCATTACTGTTATCCTAGTAATTAGCCTGCTTGTTAGACTGCTTTAGTTTGTTCTAACAAGTAAAGAATATCTAACAATTTTCCTGTTGGCTAATATTGGCTTCGGAAAGTAAAATTGTAACCTTCAGCTTTTTGAAAGGGAGAGGTCTTCTTCGGAAAGTGTGAAGACCACAGGGGAGAGGAAAACTTTTGCTTTATGCGGTCGCTAAATTCTCCGGCAGGCAACGGGGAAAGAAATTTTGATTCACGCAACATACCCAGTCTAAAAACGGTATTTTGCTTCGTTTCATTTCCTGCGTTGATTCACTTTTGAAACTGTTGCCACCAAATATTATCGCATGTATTTTATTTAATGAAACTAAATAATGAAGAATCTGTATGAATGCATGAATGTTTCTCGCATTGTGAAAAGAAAAAGGTACCTACAGCCATCCAATTCTGAATAACCAACCGAACATGGGCATTTGGAAGTCCGAATTATGAATTTGTTTTATTATCTATTTCAAATTTTATAAATCTTGAATATAACATTTATAAACAAACTTTTTGATTAACAAACTCAACGATTTCAAAGGGAGCAATGGCAACACTCTACGAAAAAAAAATTGTGTCCAGCACACAAGACTGTGTATCGGAAATTCTAAAGATACGCTGTTTTTAAATATTTTGTGATATTGCTCTTAAATTGAATTTATGTGTTTTAAGTGGGAAGAACATGATATTTAATAAATTAAGGTAACACCAAAAGGTTAAGAAAACCTGAAAGCTTTCAGATTTCCTTTTTAAATTTTGTTTTAATTTTTATTTAGTTTTGTTGGAGATGTTTTTTAATTTTGTTAAATAAAATATTTTGCCTCGGCAGCTGTTTTCAAATTGAGCATTCGATCCCGCATACAATTTCAGTTTGAAACCACAAACGTAATCTCCTGTTGCAAACAAGAAATTAAATTTGTTATTTTTAACTTAACTAGTTTTCTAATTGTTCTAACGTAGCAGACAGTCATTTACGCATACAGATCGCGTATATCTAGCTGCCAATGTAACTAACAACCATTAATCAAGGTTTGAGGTCTGACTAAAAGTGATCATTCTAAATAACACATTTAAATGAAAAGCATGTCTATATAAGGCTATCTGAAAGTCAATTGCATTTATATTTACTTAGTTATAATTAATGCTTGATTAATAGCTATTGGTTACAGAGGCGATAAGATGCATATTGCACTGTGTTATTAGATTTAATTTATCATCTTTAAAATGTGTATTGGGAGTAGTGCAAAGACATTGACGTCATATACTGGAAACAGTCGAGTCCTTCTGGCCAGAAAGGTCAGTTACTCTATTTCCTATGTTCATCAGCGTGCGAAAAGCATTCGAAGCCAATTATTTTAACAGCCAAAAGTTCAACACTTCATCTTGTTAATTAGACAGGTTAAATTGTCGCATTTGCACGTAATAATTTCACTCCGAAAGCATGAAATTGTTTCATTGATATGCTTCTTATTTTTTCCTACTGTATATTTAATTAATGCTAGTTTTCTTTGTTCTGTCACATTGGATAAAAACCTCATCAGTTAGGAACGCAGGTATGTGGTTTAATTATACAGGAGAAATGAATATTTGTGTTATTAATTAGTTTTTATGAATTCAGTTAGAGTATGCGTAATTCACTCTGATCTAACTCAATAAAGAAGACAAACCTATTGAGTGTTATGCTATGTACTGTGCTTTCTCATTATAACGTGGGGTGTGGTGCTAGTACGAAACCTGCATTTTAAAGCCATCGACTTTAAATTAAAAATGAATCTCTAATAATACAAAAATCGAAATTTTACATAGTATAAGAAACAGAGTCATGCACGCTGCGGGAAAAAAAAGGGGGGTATTTCCCGTTTTACTGGATCGATTGACAAAATTCAAGTCGCGTTTTCATGTCTCGAAAGCGCGACTTTGGACATGTATCAGATTTATATATAGCATTGTTCTAATATAGGTATTTTGACACAGAATCGGACTTTTCTGAAATGGAATGCCATTTTTTTTCCATATTTCGATTCTACGACTTAAATTATGCCAAACTGCCAAATTCTGCAGAAATCGCACGAGTAATTTTTACAAAATTAGCTCTCAAAATTTTAGCTCCTCAGTGATAATTGAATTTGGTATATATATTTATTATTCTCTCTTTTTTTTAATAAACTTATTTGATTCTTCCTTTCGCATTTCGAAATTTAGGTTCATTCCAAAAAAAAATTCGACCATTTTTTATGATTTAGTTTTGAAATTTGTATTTTTAAATATTTTTAAAAATTTTTCGAAAAAAATTTTTGAATTATAATCTATGTAATTTTTACCATCATCATAAGCATATCTGCAAAAAAATAGAATTTTTTATTCAAAATTTCCGAAGATATACGTGAATTTATATATTGGCGTGGCGCGTTTAGAAATTTAGCATATTTGTTGAAAGCGATAGATAATATCAAATGTGGTGTGACGTCGTGGATGCTTCAGTGGGAACGGAATCAACACTGGTAGTGGTGATGCATCACTTTTTAATCACACAACATATCACAGATACAACATTAATACATTTAAAAAACTTTAGTAGATATCCGAGCTGGTGACACGATCAGAGACGTTAACGAAGATGGTACCCGTCATCACTCGACGAACAAAGTCTCCACACCTCAGCTCGCTGGCGGAGCTTCCCAGCACTCTCTCTCTGACAGGCGTCTCAACAGCAGTCTCATCTCTTTACGCATGCGTAATTCTCAGTTAAGTCGTTGCCATTCACAGTTCTTTAAATAAGGTGTTAAAATGAATTATAGTACTCGTAGTGTGAGGAGTTTGCTAACGACGTTCTCTCTAGTCAAGAGCATCATAGGTCTTTCTAGTAGAGTTTAGGAGCGTTCTTTACAGACTAACTCCTTCCGCCTCCAGATTTTGTTCTCCTCGGACACAGAGGAAACAAAACTTTTTTCAAGTTACTACAGGATAAAATACAAGTTCAGGCAGGCGTTCACTACAAACAAACACCTTCCGCCTCCAGTTTTTGTTTCTCCGGACACAGGAGAAGTAAACCTTCACAGTTTATGGTTTCAATAGAGATTGTTCAACATTTTACCAGTTAATTTTAAACCACACTGTTACAAAGGCTCTCCACTCTCATAACCAGGCCATCATAAAAAAAAACACATATAAAAATACACATACAATATATAAAAAACCAAAACAAAAATTTTTGTCTTTAAGAATAAAGCTAACAATTTACTATATAGTATTAATTTAAAAAAAAATACAATATACATAATCAAATAACAAGACAACTTAAAAGAAATGATAACTAGTCTATTTAACTGGCATGTACAGAGTTTCTACTTAAGCAGTCTACATTTAAGTTGTCACTTCCCTTTTTATGATGTATGGTAAAATTATAAGATTGCAAGGCTAAGGTCCAGCGTAACAATCGACCATTTCTACCTGCATTATTTTTTAGCCATACTAGGGGATTATGGTCCGTTTGAATGGAAAATTTAGTCTGCCCATCTATATACCCTTTCAATTTTTTTATTCCATACAGAATTGCAGCACACTCTTTTTCAGTGGTGGAATACTTCCGCTCACTATCAGTAAATTTTTTACTGAGATACAATATGGGATGTTCTTTTCCTTTATCATCCTTTTGGGCTAAAACAACACCATATCCTTGATCTGATGCGTCTGTCTGTAGTATGAATGGTTTAGAAAAATCGGGTGCATGTAGCACAGGCCTACTAGATAGCTTTTCTTTTAAGGATTTGAATGATTCATTACATTCATCATTCCAAACAATTTTACCCTTTTTGTTATTCCCTTTTAACAAATCTGTCAAAGGTGCGGCTATAGCAGAAAACATGGGTATATATTGTATGTAGTATCCAGCTAACCCTAAAAAAAGCTCTAATCTCAGTTTTAGTTGTGGGAAGAGGAAAATTTTGAACCGCTTCGATTTTTAGTTCTGCTGGAGAACGTTTTCCTCGACCTACTATGTGACCGAGATATTGCACTTCTTCTTGTGCAAACTTGCACTTAGAGGGTTTAATAGTTAAATTGGCTTTTCTTATTCTTTCTAAAATTTCATGTAAATGTTGTAAATGTTCCTCCCACGTTTCAGAAAAAATAGCAATATCATCTAAATAAGGGGTCGCATATTTCTCACATCCGCACAATATTTCGCTCATCATTTTACTAAAATAATAAGGAGCATTTTTAAGCACAAATGGCATTCGCAATGGCCTATATACGCCAAAATTTGTAGCAAATGCAGCGATTTTCTGAGCCCTAGGGGTCAGCGGAATTTGCCAATAACCTTTAGTTAAGTCTATCAAGGTGATA